CACCCCCAGCCTGCAACGTGCTCTACCTAAACTCCGTGGAGACCGAGTCGCTGACGGGGCCCCAGGCCATCGCCAAAGCCACCGGGGCCACCATGTCCCAGGATCCGCGGCCCTCCGCCACCGTAGTGCACTTCAAAGTGTCTTCCCAGGGCATCACCCTGACAGACAGCCAGCGCAGGTGAGGCTGCCGGCTCCAGCATGTTAATGTCACGTTAATGCCACATAGTGCATAGCGTGTGTACAGCTCTGCTGTTTATGCTTAATGTCACAGAGGGGATGAAGTTCAAACACTGGAAACTTTATTAGTACTATACAGTGATTTAATGCAGTGGCAGTGCCAGCCTCAGTTTAATGCAGTGTCTTACCCTCAGCAACCCCAGTCCTTACAACATATGTATAACACAGGTGCTCTATGCACTTAATGACCTCTCAGGTAATGCTAGCTCTCTCTCTCTCTGTCTGTCTCTCTCTTTCTGTCTCTCTCTCTCACTCTCTTTACAGAGTATTTTTCAGGAGACACTATCCTGTCAATAGCGTGACCTACAGCAGTGTGGACCCCCAGGACAGGAGGTGGGCAGTGGAGCAAAACCCCTGTCCCAGAGAGCCCCATGTACCCCAGCCACACACACACACACGCACGCACACACACACACACGTAGGGTAAACATATCCTTATGGGGACCGCTCATTCATTTCAATGGGAAAAATGCTAATGCTAACTATGACAACCTTAACCCCTACCCTGCCCTAACCATAACCATAAGTAACCTAACAAAATACAAGTGTTTTTGCATTTTTAGTTTTTTCATAGCAGTCACCAATTTTTATAAAATAGAGTTTTCCCTTATGGGGACCAGGAAACTGGTCCCCATAAGGGAAAAAAAATTGGATATTTATCACGTTATGGGGACATTGTGTCCCCATAAGGATAGGTAAACCCGCTCACGCACGCGCACACACACACACACACACACATGTGCACACACACACATGTGCACACACACACACACACATCTATTCTCGGTAGTGTCAAGGGCATAAATGTTGCCAATGAAGCATTTCGACTTCCTCTGGACTTCCCTATTTTTCATCTACTGAAATGCTGATTTGGGTTATAATTTGAACAGTCATAAGCTGTGCTGCACCCAGTCGGTGTGAAATGCAGGGGCTGCAGGACCAGACCAACTAGGCCGTGTGCAGATTCTGGTTATTCAGGTTAGCATGTGCCAGCAGGACTGCCCCCTGGGGCACGTTAACTTGGGCAGCGCCCCCCATAGACTGGGGCAGGGGACTAGGGCTGCCACTTTCAATCTGGAGAAATGGGGGAAGCCACCCGCCCACACCACGTCTTGTATGGCTTCAAAATGGGACACAGCATTTTATAATTCAATAAGGGACAAACCAGTTAAGTGACAGTTCTGGTGGAGACGGTAAAGGTTGTCGACTGGGGGGTGGGGAATGGCGACAGTTGTGCACAGTCCAGTTGAGTTGTGGATTCCTCACCTTTTGGATAGAAAATCGCAGCAAGAACTTCAAAATCAAAAGTTTTTTACCCAACTGATCTTACTGCATTAACTCATTGCTTTTATTGACTGTTTACAACTAATGGCAGATCATGCAAAGGCTGGCATGAGCCCTGATTGGATAGCTTTGTATGACTCTTTTTTTCTGTGGTGCCTGATTGGATGGTGTTATGTCAATGGGTACAACATGAATCCTGATTGGATGGTGTCATGTCAGTGTGTGCAATGTGAACCCTGATTGGATGGTGTTGTGCAAGCATTGTTGTCTGATAGTGGCTTTTGAGTGCGGCTGCATGCCTCCATCACGGGCTGTAACGTGATGTCGGAGTTCCCATCCATGTGTGTGTGCGTGGTTCTGAGGACGTCTTTGTCTTCTCGTGCTTTAGGTGGACTAACTCTGACAGCACAACATCCAAGTAAGTGCTCGCTGGCTTGTCCTGTGTGTGTCTCTGTGTGCACTGTGCTCTGCTTGTGTGGCCTCTTCTACGTGAGTGTGCACCCAGAGGCAGCTGCCTGGTAACCAGCATGCTTTGCGTTCTGCTCCTCCCTCCTTTGCCTCACATATTCTGGCTCTTTTTGTGACAGCCACATCTTCTGAGTTTAAGCAGGATCCAGCCTCTCCTCATTCTCTCACCATGGCCTGGTGATTTGGGTGTCCACAGATAGTGGTCTTGGGGATTGTTGACACCACTCTGTCGTTCTCGTTTCTCGCACCCCGGCCTACCTTCCCTCCTTACTTCCCTGCCTCTTCTCCTCCCTCTTCCAGGGTATTTGGCTTCGTTGCAAAAAAGCAGGGAAGCGTGTCAGAGAACGTGTGCCACCTGTTTGCGGAGCTAGACCCCGAACAGCCCGCCGTCGCCATCGTCAACTTCATCAACAAGGTCATGCTGGGGTCACAACGTAGATAGTGGCCTGGGGGCAGGGGGGGGGGCGGGTGGCAGACTGGCTCAGGAAATCCCCGTCAAGAGATGCACCATTTTTATTGCTTCTCTTGTTTTTTTTTCTTCCTTTGCCACAATCCTTGTCAGTGTCCTTATAGGATGTTATCAGGCAAATTTATTCACTATTTATTCACTGTTTGTCCTCCTTTGTATTCACATATTTTTCCTTTCATGAAACTACGTAATAATCACATACCAATAAATGAACTTGTTTAGGAAAAGGGCAAAAAAAATATCTATGTGCTTTCCACTTCTGGTTTGAGGGAGTAAGAATGTGACTGAGGCTGTGTGACTGGAGAGACCCATAGCTGATAGCAGGGCTGTCTTTCAACACACTTATCAGCATTATCTGCCATGTCAGTCAGCTGTAAACCATTACAGGTGTTATTTTGAGTGATATCAGGAGAACACGGCATGGGTTTGGTGGCATCCTGTAAGTAATTAACAGAATGGTTATGCTATCATTTCTGGAGGTAAACAAACAAATCCAGCGTACGACAGATTATTTAGGATCCAGGCCAAGCGTTCCTGAGAATGGCGTCCTGAAGTAGATGACTGTTACAGAAGGTAGCTGTGAATGTACGTGAGTGTATTTCTGGTATCGTAGGGGACGTGATGATGACACGGGGGGTGGTTTAGGGACCCATTACATCACCAGGGAGCTCCCAGAGGGACTAGCGGTTGCTCAGAGCCATTTGGGCAACGTGCCCTGGGAGACTCATGAAGACTCAGCCTTTTCTAAGCCCTCTGCGGCTTCGTGCCCAGAGAGCCCAGCTTTGGGTGGCAAGCGTCCTGTCAAATGCCAATCCGTGGCTGCTGTCCAATCAGCTGTATGTGTCTGCATGCAGGAGCCAATCACAGCACAACTGTGGTTCTTGATATTGCGGTAATGTCACATGCAGATTGTGGTTAATTGATTTCCCCGCTGCCATCACAGCGCAGGCATTTGCAAACTGAACTTTAGTCAAAAATAGACAAAGACATAGGAGAAACCTGCCAAAGGCCCTGACCAAAGAAGCTTAAAGAGCGCTCGTGTTTTTCGATTACAAACCTTGTATTGGTCATTTTGTTACAAGCTTCCGTGTGTTTTGCATAAATGGGATGTTTTGTTGTTTAGTGTTTTTATAAGACAGATTAAGAAAAATGTGTAACAGCTTTAATATATTGTGGTCTGTTTTTTCTTTCTTATTGACCTTTGTATGTAGTAATATATTTTCTAAATACAGCTGCCTTGAGTATGTAAGAAATAATAAAAAAAAGGAAACATTTATAAAAAGAAATGAATTTATATTATATGCTATTTTTTAAAACACCAATGTATGCATTAAATAAAGAATATAAATAAGTTGTATCAAATAAACAATTCCTTATTTACATGCATTATCATGTCATCTATTATACATAAATATGACACAGCTCTGGAAAAAATTAAGAGACCACTCTATATATTTAAACAAATCTGCATTTTAAACCAGGATTTAAATTGTGGATCTGATGTCAGAAGGCTACACTGTGAGGAAGACTGCTTCCAGGCTCAAAGTTTCTAAGACTGCAGTACACAAGAATAATGTGAAGCAGGAGACACTGGGAACGACCAGAAACCAGCCATGTAAAGGGAGAAAGCGAGATTCTAATGCCAGAGATGACCATTAACTTATCCGACAGTTTCTCATGAATCGGAGGATGACATCAAGTGACCTTCAGAAGGAATGGGAAACATTAAGTGCAGGTGTGAAGTGCCCTGCTAGGACAGTGTGTGTCAGGCTCCTAGAAGAAGGACTGAAGTCCCATAAAGCTTTTGCTGTGTCAATTTCTTCCAGAGCTGTATTTGTATGCATGTATGTATGTATGCATGTTTCACCTGCTTACAGTGAGCCTAAGGTCTGTCCCAGGCAGCACAGGAAAACAGGCAAGAAACACCCTGGATTAGGTGTGAGCCACAACACAGAGGACAACACAGTAAGGACGATTTAGACCAGGGGTCTCCAACTCCGGTCCTGGAGAGCTACTATCCAGTCGGTTTTCAATCCTACCTGGCTTCTGATGAGCCACACCTGTTCTCAGATAAATAACAGGAACAGCTGTGGCTCATCAGAAGCCAGGTAGGATAGAAAACCTACTGGATGGTAGCTCTCCAGGACCGGAGTTGGTGACCCCTGATTTAGACCCTGGTACACCCAGTAGAAACCCAGGCACGTTTTCACCATGTCGCACACTGCACAAACACAGCAGCAACAGGACCTAAACACCTCAAGCCTAGAGGTGAAGCGACAGATGTGCCCAGAGTCACAGCACTGCCAGAGGTTCAGACGGACCTAAACACCTCAAGCCTCGAGGTGAAGTGACAGGTGTGCAGAGTCACAGCACTGCCAGAGGTTCAGACGGACCTAAACACCTCAAACCTAGAGGTGAAGTGACAGACGTGCAGAGTCACAGCACTGCCAGAGGTTCATAGACTCCTTCACATTTAAATATGTAATCGGAGAGTCACGCAGCCCCCTGGGACTATGTTTGCTTTCACATATTGAACATTGTGTGTTTTTCCAGAAACATTTTTTATTTTTTAAAAACTTTATTAATTGGAAACAAACCCACTTACATGTGGAATTCACTGCATGTCAGAATGAGAAATAGAAACAGGCCTTTTCCAAGCAAAGGAATAGCAGTAAAAAAAAATAATAATTCAGGCTCCAGATTCCCAGCCAAAGCAGCCTGCCATGTTAAACAGAGCGTAGGGCAGAGAAAGGGGAGCCGGGCATGTGGGCCTGACAGACGACCTCAACATTTCAGCAGTTTCACCAGTGACCCCTGATCTCAGAAAAAACGGAAGTTTAACCCGTTTAAACCTGGAACTTTAAATGCCAAGGCCGAGTTTTCACCCCACAGGATTGTTAGCTAAACCTGTATATACACAGCATAAAAAGTCAGTTTAAATCAGCGAAAATTAAGTACATCCTTTCCAACCAAAGCAAATGGAAACCAAGGAAACACCTGGAGGCCGTGAGGGGAAAATTGTCCATTCCAATGCACAACTTCCATGTGAAGCCAGCTATGATGGAAAAACCATGTGCAATCAAATCAGACAACCCAACTAACATCTAATCTAGCACACCTTTCTGTAATCATCCTTCCACAAGTAATAAAATGTGAAATCATTCTTACCCTCCTGAGGAATCTGCTTCTCCACAAACAGCTCTCCCCATTACATATTGATCATGGGATCAACATGAGACTTCTTTTTGGGTAAGACAACGCAAATCACAAACACATCCGTCTTGTGTGTTTTGCATTATTAACGAGCCAGAACACACATCTGGAACACACCAAGGATGGAGACTCAACTGCTCGGAGTTACCAAGGTTTTTTGGTTTCCGTGCCATTCCTGCTGTACATTCCTTCCCCAAATTGGGTAAAACCACATCTAAAAGGTGGAAAGTGGCCGGACTTACTGTGCCAAAGCTGTGAATGGGCTATAGACAGCTGCTACAGATATAAATTTCAACATGGGACAGTCCTTGTGAGAAAGCTGACTGGTACAGACATTAAGTCTGCTGGAAGAGTTCATGCACAGTATTTGTACATCACTGTGCAAGTTAATTCAATGCCATTTCTGTATTTTGCAGGGTTCAAGGAACTTTGCATGCTTGAAAACCCATACATACGAGTTGATTCAATTCGATCAATTACAACTTTATATAAGCACTTTTTCAAAAGGGGTACCCAAAGCAGATTATCAGGAACAGGAATTTGTCATGCGTAGACAGAAGCAAAATTTCAAATCATTTCCAAATCTAGGTAAAGTATGGAAATCAGTATTAATAGTGATAGATGCCTCCCTCAAAATAAGCGCTTTGATCTTGGGTAAATATCTGATGTTACCATTAATATCCCTGAGACTGAACACAAATCAGCAGTGAATAATAAATAAATATCCCCCCATAATGTAAATGAGATGTAACAGCTTTGCTGTGAGGAGGATTGACCTAACAAGCAGACAAGACAATCCAAGCGTTACAGTGGCCCGTGTGTGAGATCATCACACAGGCCTGACCTGCTACAGTGATTTCACTCAACTCTATGTAGTGTTACCACCCTGATCAAAAAAGGAGAGAAACAGACCTCACCCCCACTACAACATCCCAAATATCGATACTGACAAGCTCAAATTGTGCAAGTGCTACAGAGGATTCGTCTATGGACGAGATTTTCGTAAAAGCCATTATCCATTAGTAAAATGATTACAGGGCAGCCACCACTGTTACAGTAGTAACCAAAGAGGAGATCTATATCTACAGCAGATCTATGTCACTGGTACCTGTCAAACTGCAAACTGAAGCTTTGAGACCATAAAGAGATGAGACGGGATGAGTGATACAGGGCGAATGCCTGTCCCACAACACCGGCCCCCCCACGGAGGACGGGCTGTGAGGGCAGCACCTCAATGACCCCGGGACACGGAAGGCTGGTGAACGGTGGAGTTAGAGCCACAGTCAATGTAGTGGTAGGCCTCCATGGTATTCTGGGCGGTGCGCACCATATAGGAGGTCTTCACCGAGGTCCTATGAAGAGGGGGACAGGCAAATGAGAAGCGGGAGGATTAACCAGAGCCAGGGACGAACGCAGAGGGAAGGTGAGGCGCATCACGTGGACTTCAGAGACCAACACAGGGTTTACATATCCTGCAGGTGGCAGAAACGAGAACTTACTGCATTAACACCACGATGTTATGGACCTTGATGCTGGGCATGGTACAGAAGGCACTGGAAGGCAAATGAGAGCAGGGCTCAGGATCAGGAGGCCTAACTTACCAGGAATTGCTCCTTCACACGTATTCAATGCATATTCCAGAATATTATCATTCACATTTTTTTCAGGTGTGCAAAATTCTTGATAAACATGAAATGTACAGAGAAAAATATTCAGGTGTGATGTGTATATTGCACATGCTTCCATACAATTTTACCAATGAAACTTTCTTTTAAATATTATAGGAAAAAAAAAAAACAAAATAAGGTCATGGACTATCAGTGTTTCCCAATCCGGTCCTTAGGAACAAAAAGCCAGTCCATGTTTTGATCCCTCCAAGCTCCCTGCCAGACAATCCACATTCTTGCTCCCGGTAGGGACCTGAGATGGAGCAAAAACTGGACCGGACTGTGCGTCCGAGGACCAGATTGAAAAACACTGCTCTATATTAATAGACGATCTTGAAAATCTGGAAGAGACAAAAAATAATAAAAAATATCAAAAGGCAGCACTTACTAAACATAGGAGAGGCTTCCACTGATCTCCATACTGACAGTGAAGTTCACCTGAAAGGCAGGTCAGATTGCAATACACACTTTACTTCACAATCACTGACGTAAAATCAGCGACATTGCAGTTCAATATAAAAAGGCCCCCAAAGATGCATATGAGGTTTGAACCTCAAATGGTAGAGGGCTGTGAAATCCACCCTTAAGCAGAGCACCTTCCTCACCTGTCTTTGGCTGAGGGGCTGAATATGGATGACATTGTCCAATTGTCGAGTGCCGACGACCGTCTTCATGTAGAGCACCTGGCAGTTAACGCTGTCCACCAGCACCGTGAAGAAGTTAGAGTTGGTGAAGTTCAATGTGCTCTGGGGAAAGGGTGGGGG